ACGAGCCAAGCGGACGGTCCCGGCACCTATACACTCGTCTTGACCGACGATGGATCCTGTATCTTTCCTGGCTTTTGTGTATCTTTGACAAAGAGCATCGCTAGTGTATACACAAGGGCGACTAGTACCGGCTGCATCGGTACGGTACTTAGTGGTATCGGAAAGCTCCATTGTGAATCGTAGAACCCGTCGCTGCCCGACGTCGACGACCGAGGCCCGCGTTTCAAACAGCTCATGACGCCGCTCCACGCTCCACCGCACGTCACGACGCCGACGCACCTCAAGCTTCCACTGCCGATCGTCGCCATCGCCTGTGGCGCCGAGCACGCGATCGCAATTGCATCCAACCGAACGCTCTTTGCCTGGGGTTACAATACCTATGGCCAGCTGGGGCTAGGGGATTTCGAAGCAAAAGACGAACCGACGCCTCTACTGTGCCGGGAGCTCAGCGTCCGGTTGCATCAAGTACACGTTCTCTCTGCTCTAAAGAGAGGTTGTCCTACTCGACTGTCTAGGCAACGGGACGCAGCCAGTACCGCCTTGTCACGGGTGCCTTTACGACTGCGCTCGTGTTTCCCGATGCGGTGTGGGTCTGGGGCCGCCTCGCGTCGCTGGACCTCTCGCCGTCCCCCGACCCAAGAGAAAGCCCGCATGTTGCGCGGATCTTGGCCATTGACGGACCGCTCGTTGACATTCTGTTTGGCCTGGACCAAGCACTGGCGTTAACGCACAGCGGCGCGCTGTACACGTGGTCGACGCGATCGCAAGCCGGTGTGCTCCCCGTGCCTATGCCCGAGCGGCCCGTGCTTCAAATGGCGCTCGGCAGCAAGCACGCGCTGGCGTTGACCAAAGCCGGTCACATTTACGCCTGGGGCGCCAATGGTCTTGGGCAGTGCGGCGTCGGAACCTTTGCGTCGTTGATTCCATCGCCGCAGCGCGTTCTGGGCGTGCCCCTACTCAACACCGCCAGTGTGCGCTTGGCGTGTTTTGGTCATGCGTCCTTGCTGCAGATCGATCATGGCCAGTTGAGCTTTGTATGGGGCGTCGTCGGGCCGGTGCTCTGCACGCACACGCCCGTGGAGCTACCGCCATTTCGCAAGGCGCCGCCGCCATCGCCCCCCGTCGGCGTCCTCGGGACGCCACACAGTCTAGGATTTGAGCGGTCTCTGCCCAAAAAGACGAGCCTCTATACACTCGGCCCCATCGTCTGCAAAGGACGCGAGCACATTGGCGATGTTGCAAAATTGCACTTGTCCCGCGGCGCTCTGACCATCCAGCCGATCTACGAGCACGCGTCACCGGCGCTGGCGGTGCTGGCAACGCCACTGCTATCGACCAAAGGCGTCTTGACCGTCTCGCCGATAGAGAGTAGCACCAAAGGCCTCTACACTAGCTGGTTCCACGCGCAACACAGCGGCACGTGGCAGCTGTGGCTCGCATCAAGCCAGCAAACGGCTTCGCTCGTCGTCGGTGGCCCCTGGACGCTCAAGGTTCAGCTGTCCGAGGCGGTGGCGCCGAGTCGCCAGACGACCCCCGCCTTCGACCACCCGCGCCTCGCACACGTGGCCGTTCAAACAAATGCGTCAACCGTGTGGCATGCGACGTCACCCGAGCTGCCGTGTCGCGTGACGATGGACCACCCCGTCTTGCTCCGGTTCGACCTCGCCGGGTGTACCGACCTCAATGACGACGATTGGGCTGTCGAGAGCTTGGGAGCGACAGTGGCGACGACGTCGCACGCCATCGATCGAGTGGCCGCGACGATGGTTGTCACACTCAAGTACATAAGCGCGGGAACGTCGACTGTGGTGCTTCGCCGCAGTGGCCGCGCGCGACTACACCGCAAGGCGCCGTCGACGGTGGAGGTGCATGTGACGTACAAAGTGGCCTCGGTGGTCCGGTGTGCACAGCTGCACCGGCTCGCGATGCAGTCGTATCTCTGCAGCGTCGACAACTCGATACCCAAGCTCTGCGCGTGGATCACTGGGCACAAGGAGCTCTCTCTGTATCTGCAGCACTCGGTGATCCTCGAGGTGCAGACCTTCGCGTCTTTTCTTCCTCTTCACACGAGCGACACAGGTGCTCACACAACACCGCATCACGTATGGCTGGGACGTCTGGCGCGACCTGCAGTACGAATCAACGCTACTGTGTACCGGCGCTGAGCTCATGGTGTCCATAGGTCCGAGCTACAGCAGTGGTGATCGGCAAGGTCGTTTCTTCCAGCGAGTCATGGCCAGCTGTAGGACGGTCGTTGCGTGGTTAGATTTTGACGCGCTCCTCAAGAAACTCGCTACCTCCAATACGATGACGTCACCGCGCCACCAGCCAGCAAGCGTCGAGTCCGCGCTCGCAGCCGACGCAACGTGGTTTCTTTCGATATATCCAGAGCCGCCGGCGCTGCACGGTGGTGGGCTAAGCGCCCGCCCCCACCCGCGAACGCCCCTCTCGATGCAGGACCTCGTCGTACCGAGAAGCGCGCCGTCGGAAGCCGCCATCCTCCTCGACGCCCACCCGTCGATCGTGCTGCCCATTGCGGCTCAGTACACGCTTTGGGGTGATTTCTTATTGGCAACAGCCCACCGCGAACCTCTCGAGAGCGGTTCGTGTGGCCTCTCGGGGCCACTTCACGAGCTACGACAGCTGTTGCTAGAGCGGCGTCGGTCGGCGCAGCGCTCGCTCCGGGATCTCTACCATCATTTTCATCGGGACCTCAAGTCAACTGGTGACGGGTTCGACTTGAGAGCGTTCCGAGTCGCGATCAATGACCTTCGGTACTTGCTGTCCAATGCTCTTACGACAATATTGTACATATCTGAAAGACGATATTGGGTAGGATCATGCTGACACCGGAAGAGAGCTTCGATGCGTTCCAGCGCCTCTGTGTTGACGGAACGTCGCATGTGGGCTTTGGCGCCTTTCGACTCTTCGTGCTCGAGCCAACGTTTCAGAGCTTTTGGCACACCTACGCGCCGCGCGTCATCGCGACCCTTCGCGCCCATAGCACGACGTCCATCGATGCCTGGAGGAAGCACTTCGAAGCGGCCTTCGAGCAGCTGCAGACAGGGAGCGGCTACGAAACCGTGCGCACAGCTGCCAACGGCGACTTGGACTGGGAGGTCTTTGCCCACGGCCTTCTGCTGCTAGTACCGTCCACGTCGCCGCGCGACCTCATCCGCCTTGTCTACCGCTTTGATACGCGAGGTGACGGCGTCGTGCAGGCGACGAACGTGCTTCGTGCGCTCCATCAGTGGGCCACGATGACGCTGGACGCACCGCGGACCGAGCGAGGATCGTCGTCGAATGTTTTGGCAAGAGACCGGCCCCAGATTGACGCCTTCTCGAGCCACAAGGCGGTACAAAAACTGTATCGATCCCGCGCCCAAGCCTACGCACTCGAGACGTCCGAGGACGCAGCGCTCCTGCGGCAAGGCAACGAGCTGCTGGTGGGCTCTCTATATGAAAAAGACTATATAATGACTATGGTATGCTAGACAAGAACGACCAAAAAGCCCGTGCACTGGCTTCTCGAGTACATGCTAGTGTGTGCACCGCGGCGATCGTCTTATGGTGTTCTCTGTAGACAAGGCCTTAGCTTTCGACCGCAAGCTCGAGGACTCAGTCTGGACAAGCCGGGTGTGTACGATGCCGCAGAGCTCTCAGTCGACCAACTGGATAGTTGATGGGTAGGTTTCATGCACTATCCGATACTATCCAATGCGTGGTATTGCAAGTCGGATCTTGACTGGACCGACGTTCCGTGTTGCAGGAAAGACGCCATCTCCATCTCCTGCGCGAACCTGCATTCTTGCATAACAAGACGCTTGCAACAAGGGAATTTCTCTTACCGTGCCGAAACCAAAAGTGACTTTATTTTTGGATATATTTTCAAACAATTTTAGGACGATTGTTTTGAGGGAGTTGCTATGTTGAACCAATGGCCTTGCGATCTTGAGTCGGCGCTTTGATGGACGACGCCCAGCGACGCAAGCCATGGGTCCTTCTCTTGGCATGTCTCGTAGACATTGGCAACTCGTACTGCTACGATACGCCGTCCGCGCTCAAGTCGCAGCTTCAGGAGCACCTCCATGGCATGCCCACCGCCTCGTTTGAGATGGCTTTTGTATCTTTTTTGCTATTTCATTTTGCTCGCCCATATCGTCGTTACCGTCCTTGACCCCATCTAGAACCTGCTCTACACGGTCTACTCGGTGCCCAACATTGTGCTGCCGCTGTTCGGCGGCCTCGTGACGGACCGCATTGGCCCGCGCAGCATGCTTCTCCTGGTGACGCTGCTCATTCTTATCGGCCATGGCATCTTTGCCGTCGGCAACCAGCTGCAGAACGTGCCCGTCATGCTAGTAGACACTTGCTTCCATAGATTCATGATACAGAGACCTCGTAGCTCGGGCGGGTCGTCTTTGGCCTGGGCGGCGAGACCATTTCGGTCGCTCAAGCGACTGTCCTCGCTGTCTGGTTTGATAGCAACGAGCTGGGTACGCGACTTTTCTGCAAAAAATATGTGCGTCAACGTGTCATAGCACTCGCCAACGGATTCGCGCTGAGTACGTCCAAGCTCGCGACGACGCTCAACAACGAGCTGAGTCCCGTGCTCGCGGAAGCCTTCGGTCTCTCGAGCGCCATCTGGGCCGGCGTCGTAGTGTGTGCGCTCGCATTCCTCGCAACGCTCGCCCTCTATCGTATCAGCGAACGTGACGCGGTCGACCAAGACGACGACAACGTCCCCGTACAGCTGTCCGATATCATTGATTTTAGGTGCGATTTGCCAATCTCGGATAACCCTAACCACCCCTACCCCTAGCACGAGCTTCTGGCTCATGGCCGGCGCGTTCTTTGTGCTGTACGCGGTGACAGGGCCGTTCAACAACGTCGCCAGCAGTATCTTTCTAGAGCGCGACTACTACAAGGCCCTCCCGAGTGCGTGCCATCGGTGCGGCCTCGGTGCGTACGCTGGTGACGTCAACTGCTCGATGTTGCCGCCGGCCTGTCCACCATCACCTCCCTATGCATACCCACTGCCGCTGCTCTCGGCCCACTGCACTTTGAACCAAACACAGTGCCTCCGCGCTCCTCCGTATGTGCTCGCCCATCACATCAACTGCGACGATACGTTTTGGAAAAATGGCGAAGTGACCAAGGGGTACTGCAGCGTCAAGTACGCTGCCGAGCAAGCCGCGGCGTTCCCGCTGAGCATCGCACCGCTGCTTGTGGCCACCACGGCGCCGCTCTCGGGCTACCTCGTCGACCATCTGGGGCATCGCGCGGCCTTGGCGACTGGCGCAATGGTGCTTCTGGGGCTCTCGCACGCGCTGATTGGCTACACGTGGTTGTCTCTGTACGTCCCGCTCGTGCTCCAAGGCATTGGGTTCAGCGTCTTCTTGTCGGCGCTCTGGCCCGCCGTGTCGTGTACGTAGTATATGGATACAATGGTGCGAATGTCATGTGTATGGACGTAGATTGCGTTGCACCGCACCACGTGGGTACCGCGTATGGCGTCCTTTGCGCCGTCTTGGTATGGCGATATGGGCTCGCCATGACTCAATATGGATAGAACTTTGGCCTTGCGCTCGTCCCGATGCTTGTGGTTGTCGAACACAACCTCACGGGCGTCTACGTGCCGTACGTGAATGGTATGTTTATCGGCCTCTCGCTCCTCGGTGTCGGCGCCTGCGCAGCCTTGTGCGTCGTCGACCATGCGAACGGCGGTGCGCTTGACGGTGTTACGATGACCCAAGTCCAACCAACACCAGTGCCGCTCTCGGAGCTGCTCACGAACGAAGAGACGAGCTTGGTGCAAGCGCCAACCGTCGGCTACGGGACATACTCGTAGACTCTACATTCTTTTTGCAATATCCGTGCATAAGCTTTGACGAAGCATATTGACGTGGGTTGGCGACCGTTGGCGTCACCTTGAACTTCAAGGACCCCGGGGTGCAGCGTTGGCCGTGGACCCAGAGACTTCGTATTCCGACACATACAAGGTCGACCGATTGGGCTTTGAAAAGGTGCATTCATCTCCACCTCTCCCACAGTGTCGTTGACCGTCGATTTGGCTTTGCTTTCTTTTGTTGATGTGTACGACTCTTGATTAGACAGGCTTGCTGGCAGTCCGACCTCTTCATATACACCGGGGCACTTTAAGTCGAGATGCAGCAAGAACAGCCGCCTTCTGCAGCCGCATCATGCTTTGTTTTCGCCGTCTCTTTGCTTTTCTATAATAGTCTCTACGCTTTTTCTATAATAGTCAATGGGCTAGGAAATGACGTAATCCTTCCGAGCATCGCTGTGCATAGCTCTGGTTGTCGCCGCCGTGCCATTTCCTCTGGAATCCGATATAGATACACACCCATCTTCTGATATCCTGCTAAACATGATAGTGCCGTTGCGCCCACAACCCTCTTTCGGACTTTCAAATACCTCTCACAATCGATACTATCAAAGATACCGCCTGGCCTTTCTGCTGTCAGTTTCCAAAACGCCATGAGCCCGCCACCGTTCACGCAGCTCACGTGCCTCTCGACGCGCGGCCGCGTCCTCTTCGCCACGGACGAGTGGTTTGCCTCTGCCGACAACCTCCTCTCGCTCGCGCCGCCGGTCTTTATTGCTGACAAGTTTACGACCTACGGCAAGTGGATGGACGGCTGGGAGACGCGCCGGAAGCGTGTCGCTGGCCACGACTGGTGCGTCCTCGAGCTCGGCCTGCGCGGCAAGATCGTGGGCATCGAGGTCGACACGGCCTTCTTTACCGGCAACAACGCGCCACGCGTAGCTCGCTGCATGCACGGACGCAAGGCTCATGCGCGTCTGTAGGTGTCGATCCAAGCCGCCTGCCTCGAGCCGGGCGTCGGCGCCGACCTGATCCGCCCGCGCGAGATGGGCACGTGCGCGTCGGCTACCGAAGAAGCGGCGATCGCTGCGCTTGGCACGGACGCTTGGCGCGAGCTCGTGCCGCGGACCGACCTGCAGCCGGGGTTCGATGCGATGCGGTGCTTCCTGTGCTAATGTGGGCGGATGTAGGTATGAAGCAAGCCGGTACCACTACTTTGACGTCAGCAGCGACGACGTGTGGACGCATCTCCGCGTCAACATGTTCCCGGACGGAGGCATTGCGCGGCTCATGGTCTACGGCGTCGTTGCCGTCGACTGGGAAAAGGTATTGAAGCGGGATATGCCCCTGAAACTTCAGCTATTGAGCATAGATTGCCTCGACGGCGTCTGTCGACTTGGTTGCGGCGGCCAACGGCGGCACGGTTGTCGGCTTTAGCGACGCTCACTATGGCCATCCGCGCATTCTGCTCCAGCCCGGGCGCGGGATCAACATGGGCGATGGCTGGGAGACGGCCCGGAAGAAGACGCGCCCGGCGATCCTCACGGTCGACGCCAGTGGTCTGCTCACGGTGCCAGGCGATGATTGGGTCGTCTTGAAGCTCGGGCATGTGGGTGTCGTGGAGCGTATTGAGGTCGACACGGCGAACTTCAAGGGGAACTTTCCCGAAAGCTGCTTCATCGAAGGCTGTTTCTACGAGGGCAACGACGTGCTCTCGGCGTCGGTGACGTGGCGCCCCGTGCTGCCGCGCTCCAAACTCAGCGCTGACAAGCAACACTATTTCAGCGTTGCTGACGGATCGCTTGTGGGTGGCGGCGATGCGATCAATCACGTTCGCTTCACCATGTACCCGGACGGCGGTATCAGCCGTCTTCGCATCTGGGGCCGCAAGGCGCTGAGTGGACGCTTGTAAAGCCATCTTCGTCTCATCGTCTGTGTACTGTAGTATGTACATAAACTGTCTATCGAAAGACGTGTTTGGGTGCGTTGGTGAGTTGCACAACATGTCCAGCCATGCATATCACGTCCGATAAGGATCAAGGCGCGACTTGTATCAACTAACTAAATCAAATGTGTTTACACAATGTCTTAGACTTCTTGGACGTCGTAGCGTGTACCATTGTTGTTGACACCGCTCACAAGTGCGAGGATCGCGTCGAGCTTGGCGGCGACCGCTTCGAGCTGCTTGGACTGCGCCTCCACCTTGGCCTCGAGCGCGACCAGCTTGTCGTCGGGCTTCGTGTCGCCGTCGTCGTTGCACTCGGTTGGCGGCGTGATGACGTTTTGCACGGCATTCTCGATGGCGTCGATGACCTTTTGGAGCTCGTCTTTGATGGTTGAGCGCTGCGACATGTTGTAGAGAAGAACACACTCGGCGCGTGCGTCCATCTCGGCAGCGTCGAGCCGGAGCTTCCAGAGCGTCAAAAGCTTTTCCTTGAGCTTGGTGAGTGTCCTCTTGACTTGCTTCTGAAGCGCCGCGAGCGCCATATCTCGGTAGACACCGCAGCTCAACCGCGCCGTTTCTATGATCACCTTGAGGAGGGCGCGCGCTGTCTCAATGTGCTCGAGGTCCCTGGCCAGAACCTCGTTCGTGTCGAGCTTGGAGAAG